ACACAAGCCAACAAATCGTTATGACATCATAAAGTGGCCAAAATCTGATCGGCTCATTAGAAATGGATCAGGACAAAAAGAGAGAGAATCTTTTTTCCCTGAAACTTTCAGAATGTCTGTACACAGAGGGGACACATGTTGATGTATAGAAGACATGGAAAAGTGGATTTNCATCTGATCGGCTCATTTTCAGACAGGTTTTTATAGAAATGGATCAGGACAAAAAGAGAGAGAATCTTTTTTCCCTGAAACTTTCAGAATCTCTGTACACAGAGGGGACACATGTTGATGTATAGAAGACATGGAAAAGTGGATTTTGCATAATAGGTGACCTTTAAAATGACCAGTCTTAAATCTTTGGCTCTTGTGTCTATTCCTTCTATCTGCCTCTTCATCCATTATCTACCATCTTGTCTCTGCAGCACCACTCTGGATCTGTATGCCAATGTGATGCACTGCCAGTCTCTACCAGGAGTGAGGTCACGCCAGAACAACATCGACATCATCATCATCAGGGAGAACACAGAGGGGGAGTACAGCAGCCTGGAGCACGAGGTGTGTGTGTTCATAATCGCTCTGATGCTGCAACACACAACATCCCAACTAAATCTGTTCTCCGAGCATCTCAAATGTTTCTCTCTTTGCTTTTGCAGAACGTACCGGGAGTTGTTGAGTGTCTGAAGATCATCACCAGGACCAAATCTCTACGCATCGCTGACTACGCCTTTAAAACTGCCCGCGCTCAAGGACGCAGACGAGTGACTGCTGTACACAAAGCTAACATCATGTCAGTTGAGTCTCAAACACCTGTTTTCATTCATCTTTTTCTATAAAGACACTTCTTAATGTGTGTGTGTGTTTGGAGCAGGAAGTTAGCTGACGGCCTCTTCCTGGAGTGCTGCAAAGAGGTTGCTAGTGGTTACCCTGAAATCACCTTTGACAGCATGATTGTGGACAACACCACCATGCAGGTAAGCACGCCATTTCTTCACACTGCCACAGTTGAAGATACAATAAGCGTCATCTACCGCTTTATGTTGGTTTTTTAAAGTGACATTCATGGTATGTTCTTAAACTACAAACTTCCTTGCTCACGTGTTATTATAAGGATGAATCCCACTGTCTTTCTGAATTGAAAGCACATGCAAATAAATCCTAATAAGTATATTATGTAAATAGGTAAACCACACAAATGCACATAAAAGGCCAAGAGACTGCAGGGCTGTGTGCAAACACAACAATTGCAAAGTGTTGGAATAATGTCACTCGACACCGGTTTGAGAATCAATAATCAGGAACTCATTTATTGTTGCAAGAAGGAGCTTAATCACATTCAGGAATATGGTTAACTCACACACATGAGGTATGCTGCTCAAAGGAACAGGAAGTCACATCAAGCTTATATCCAGGGCTTTCTCAGTGAGGTAATTGGATGAGTACCTGGAGTCAGTGTTTGGTACTCCAACTTCTGGCTCCTCTCTGTATCGCGAATGTCAGGGGGGGGGGGGGGGGGGGGGTGTGTGTGTGCCTAAGTGGAGTATGAAAGCCCTCAGTATCGCGAAATGTCAGCCGGGGGGGTGTGAATAGTGGAGTATGCAGCCTCTGTATCGAGAAATGTCAGCGCGGAGGGGGGGGGGGGGTGCTAGTGGAGTATGAAGCCTCTATCGCGATTCAGCGCGGGGGTGCTAGTGGGAGGTATGAAGCCCTCTGTATCGCGTGTGGAACGTTGTGATCAGCTGTTTTAGCGCAGTGCTGCGCTGTACAGACCGACGATTAAGCAGCAGCCTGTCTGTGCACACCCGGAAACCGACTTCTGAAAGCTTCACAAGTAACAGTCGGTAGCAAATGCGAGCTTTGTGACACAAGTGACGGTACGCATTCAGATTGTTGCTCGGTGCATGTATACCATCTACGTGCACCCCTGCCATATCGTTTCTAAGTGCAGTCCCCACACAGTCGTACATCGGTTTTTGTGTCGGCAGGTATTCCCATTTACGATGATGTTGCTCTTTGATCCTCTAAGGGTGGGAGACAGAGTAGGTGCTCCTTGCCCCCTCCCCCCCCCCCCCCCACCAAAAGGGCTGGGAAAAAAGAGGGTAGGGGTGCTCAAAGTTAATATCAACCAAGTTCTTCAAAAAAAATAATAGAACTAAACCACAGCTGAGACAACTGGGAAATTCAACCATCTTTGGTTTGGGTCCCTTATGGCTGGGGGTCATCCTACACACGAGAAAAAGATGTGTTCCAGGTTGTCCCAC